AATCCAGCAATCCAACAATCCAGCAATCTACATGCATAAAACACAAATCGTTAGCAGCTAACAAATGCAAAATCACACAAATTCAATTAAAATTGACATTTACTCGAAGATGAATGTCTTTTATGTTTAATGTAATAAATTTGATATTGTTGAGCAAATAATAAATTTTCCATAATTGAACTTATGTATATAAATTTTTGTTTAAACTTGTTAGTCACAGTTCGATTTAATTAAATAATATAGATAGACGTAAAACTGTAACAGATTTATGTTATAGTGATAACTTATCATAATGTTTCCACAGTGTTCTCTAGCTTGGGTTCGTGCTTTTTGAGTGTAGTAGGAAAGGAGCATATAGATCAGCTGGTTAGAATTTTTACCTTCTTATGAGTTAACATTAAATTAATTTTAAAGTTAATTAAGAATAACAAACTGGACTGCTAGGTGCTGCATTCTGAATTTTTACCTTCTTGAAACAAGCTCTCAGCTATCAAGTAGCGGCTACTGATAGTTAGAAATGAATATATACAAACGTTATAACTTAACGGGTCAATACTTATCAATCTAGCAATTCAGACTAGATATGCAAAAATACAAAATGGAAGTTTGAGTTGATCGTTTATAAACAATATTTTTCCGTGATAAACTAATTGGTAAATACTTGTTAATATAGCAATTCAAACTTGGTATATATAGTAGGAAACGATCTCACAGATTCATTGGTTAGATTTTGTATCTCCTTGACAGAAGCTCTCCTGTCAATACTTGTTACTAGTTACGAAGTATGATATACAAAGTATATTTTTCTGAGACTAACAAATAGGTTAATATTTGCCAATTTAGTAATTCACGTTCGATTTAAATAAACGCGAAATAAAATTTTCAGAAGAGAATTGACCACCGATATTTTACGGTGACATAATATCGACTCCAACGGAACATGGAATACTTATTTATAGAAGAGTCTTAACTTTTGTACATAACAGGAGTCTGAAAAAGTAACAGACTTATAGATTAGGCTTATCTATACTCAGATTTTAGCATATGGGGGGGATATTTTTTAATTTACTCTATAGCATCCCGAGCCTACGTAATAACATAATATAACTGCAATCATTAGTTATTCTGGTGGGTTGATAACGCTCAAACTTCTCCTTAAAATTAAAAGGAACGTAGAATCAAGGACAGCAAGGTTGTTGGTTATATATATAGATTCAGGTTCCATTCTTATCAGACTAATACTGTGCTTATATTAGAAATTAGACAACTTTATTAACATATTTTTGAATAGGGGTTGTATCAGAAATGATAAATGCTTTATTATCCATATTGATCATAGGTAGGTAAATTGGAAGAAGTAACAAATTATCCTCAATTAGTTAAGAAGATCGTTTTGATTCCACATTTCTTGTAATTGTGGGTAGAATGACCGGCATATTAGAATTAGAACTTATCTGACCAAAACTAATGTTGGAAATATCGCTTAATAGCTAAAGCGTGGTTCTGGACAAGACTGGACATAGAACAAGTACTCTGTTGTATTTTCTTAGAGCGCCATATAAGAATTAAAAATTATCTGACCAATACTTATTTTGAATATCGCGCAATAGCTCAAGTGTGGTTCTGGACAAGCCTGGACATAGACAGAACAAGTACTCCGTTGTATTTTATTAGAGCGCCATATAAGAATTAAAAATTATCTGACCAATACTTATTTTGAATATCGCGCAATAGCTCAAGTGTGGTTTTGGACAAGCCTGGACATAGATAGAACAAGTACTCCGTTGTATTTTTTTAGAGCGCCGGTAGACATGCACTACAAGAGAACAGACAAGACAGGTTGGCCCAAGCTTCATACTGTCCTATAGTTCAATGTCTAGTTAGGATATGTATTAACCGTTTTGGTTCTATTGATTCTGCTCAGTCAAGTCATTAATTTTTAATTTAAAAAAAAATTATTCATATAATAATATTGTTGTAGAATAAAATTAGTTAAATTATAGTTATGACTTCAAATAGTCATGTTATTTATTAATATTAACTGATTTATGAAGTAAATCGTAACTATTGAAAGGATTCTCATTATCCCTTGATAATTTTATTTGCAACTGGTTACTTTCTGATAAGAATACCAATTTTCTGTAGTATTTCTTTGGCATTAAAAAATAATTGAAACTTTTCTATATGTTGAGAACTCATTCAAAATCACCGGAAATATTATGTTAACATATAATATATCCTTTTGCAATATTGCAACTCTTTTTGATTGATATTGCTTAATTTCATGAGGACTTCTACTTCTGTATAAATTTATCTGTCAGTGTACATGTGCGATACTCAAATAAAAAATTGACAATGAAGCATGTAGAAATGCCTGGTCAGTGTGATTTAATTAAATTATCAATAAGCACAAATTCATATAAATTTTTACGACTTTATGACTTTCGTGTCGCAATAAACCAAATCGGAGAGCACAAATCCTAAGCACACGTGTAAATAAATAACTTTGCAATCTTCGCAAAATACACAATAAAAATTTATCACAGCTAAAAGCAGCATCCAACTGCAAATCGAATAAATTTTAACCCTTTAATGCCAATGGGAAATGGTCAATCGAAGGAAAAAGCGAGAAAAAATTGAGGAAAAAGTGTGCAGGAAAGTACAGGGAAGGAGTATATAAAAATTATCAGTGCACAAAGCAGAAAAATACAAAATTGTGCAATTCGTTCTGTTTAAGCTTTTGTGTTCCTTTTCTCAGCTCATATTTTTGCTCCTTAACTAAATCCAGCTCAATAAAATATTATCCTTGCAGAGCAGTTACAATCTAGTTGATGACCATTTGCTTGCTTTGATGACCAAAGCATACGTAAAGGATACAAAATGCCTCGGATTATGAAGTGTACGAGTACGTACTCCTCACCGTATAAATTATTTTCCAATTGACAATTTCAGCTCGCAACATAAATTCCAGTAACTGTGAGATTAGCCACAAGTTAACTGGACACTGAAAGGATTTCGCTGCACACTATTTTATAGGATTTGCTGCAAAAATCGTTTATAAAATAAATAAGAATTCTTCAGGGTGACTGCGTATAAGTTTCCTTATTTATTTCTATTTCAGTCCATGTTGTTTATCGGGAAGTGGACACATCAGTATCACAATTTATATTGAAAAGTACTTGTAATGTGAATGTCAGTGTCAGAGTCAGAGAGACAGAGAGAGTCCTTTTTAACACGTATCAGTTGATCGTCTTCTGTTATTTGTATTAATGTTGCTGTTTAACTTAATTTTTGTGCAATGTTCTGTGTAATTGAATTGAACTTTTTTTTGGTGACATCACATAGAGGGATTATTCGGTATATTTAAAATAAATTTTAAGTTTAATTTTACAAATATCATTTAAAAAGTTGTAACAATATTAATCAATAAGTTTGCAGTACGACACATAGATGGCGCCATTGTTGATAAATCTATATCATTTTGTAATATAGCTACCTTTATCCAACATGAGTCAAAACTGCATGATAAATTAATATTTGAAGTAGTACTAGTCAGTACTGTCACTAGTATGGGTGGTAATTTTTATGGGCAAAAATGTGGTGTAGATTCTGCAATGGTTTGAGAAGTGTTTAAGTGACTTTACTCGGTCAAATTCAATTATTTGTAGGTGTTGTGCTGAGTTCCAGTAATGCTAAGCGGTTTGGCCGCCAGAGAACAAAAAAAAATCTGATTAAATCATTTTGAATGACCATAAGTCATAGTTCGAGAAGATTACTGACTCCATATAACAGATATCAAAGATATCAGTGAAGCGTTGATGATCCATTATGTTGTTGGTGATAATTGAAACATGAAACATAATTAAATATAAAGTTAATTTTTTTGTCGAGAAGAAACTATTTAAAAGTTGGAAAGGTTCGAATAGAAATAAAAACTTATGTTTTCCTACAAGTTCGCTAATCGTGATTAGGAAAAGCTGAACAATATTATTGTCCATATTTTCTATAATACAAATTTTTAATGCTAATTTTTTCTTGTCGAAAGTGGCGCGAATTCTGACGAAAAGAAAGTATTTAAAAGTTAGAAGGCTTCGAATAGAAATGAAAAATCAACAACAAAAATTTTAATTAATTTATTAATATTTGGTTACCATACAAGGCTGTTTTGAGTATCAAGTACTTATCATCATATTTAATTGGTTTATACTCCATATATCATTTAATATAATTTATCTCTATACTTTAGATTCGATTTGATATTTCAATATATCTTCTAGTTTGCTGAATAGATGAAGGGATTTGAGAGTATTTGAACTACTTTTTGACTTGAAAATATTGTTTTATAGCTGTTTTTTAAAGTATTAGCGTGCAACAGTGTCATCATAGAGATTGATAATAAAAGTACTACGTAGACCTCAGTATAGTCTTTAACGTTCAACTTTAGTTGAATAATTCTTTTAAATATTATCGCAATAACATTAATCAAAAAATATTACACTTAAGTGAAAAATAGTTGCATGTGTCGTTTTTGTGGAGAAACCTACAAAACAAGACAGGGGCAAGATAAAAGTGAAAAAGCTATTGGGAGTGCTGACAGGACACTGCCGAGTGAACACTCGTGTTATAAAATTGTGTATTCATTTCTAAAAGAAATAGAGGAGTTATAGGAATAAGAGGATATAGACACAACTGTCCATTTTATTTGCAAATGTCTTAATCTGGCAGAATTTAGAAGTTACACTATGGAGGGTTGCGAACTAATGAGTTTTGCGAGCATCCAAAATGTAGATCTTAAAAAAATACTTTGCTTTATCAACTGGCCGGTGTTACAACTAAGATTTTCATGACCAGGTTTATGGTAATAAAACGGATTTGTTTGCTACTTGAACAGAAGAAGGAGCTCTACTGCAACTGAAACCAATCAATCGTCTCTTATATGATAACTGTAGAGAGCATAAAATTCAACAAGCAGAAATTTTGCTCGTGAAGAAATCCATGAAATGAAGGTATGTCTGAGGTGTAGTTTATAAAACCGTAAGTGACTAAAAGTTAGCAGTTCGCTTATAAAATATTTGCTAAGTGTAAAAATTATATAAAACTTAAACATTTAAATCAAAATGTTCAAAAATATGAAAAAAATATTTTTAACTGATTTTAAATTAATTTTTTCTCTTCGCTCTAACAAAAATAGAAGATTATTCCATAACATTTGAAAGTCCACATTTCTCATGGGCACAAATAACGACTGCCACAGATCAAAATTTATTGCAACGACCGCAAACGATTGACGCACAAAAATTCTCACAAAGCCAAAATATAAAAGAATTCAATTTGCCAAATGGCAAAATATTTGATATGAAATCCGATTCCGATCGGTTTTGTTTGCCACTAAGAGGAGGAATGAAATGCAATGCAATTGATATTGATCGGATCAATTTGTGTACAATTGCCCAAAAGATAATCCACATGCGCAACAATGCGCAAATCCGCCTAAAATTTCAAACGATCCGAGCGAGGCACTCAAGAGGGAAAAATTGAGCACCAATAAAAAAAATTGAATAAAATAAAAAAACATAAGATATATTGTCGCCCTGATTTGTAAATAATTTGATTCGTAGATTTGTGACAGTTGCAGATACTCTAAATAGGTCGATGTCAACTTCGGTTTGTTTGTTTTTTGCCTTTTAAGTAATTTAGTTGCGATGCATTTGCTGCTTGCTGCGATGCATTTGCTGCTTGCTGCGATGCATTTGCTGCTTGCTGCAAAAATGCATCAGCAATTATAGTGGCGCATTCAAGCGCAGACAGTTTATTTTAGTTCTTAATTTCTACTTTAAATCGCTCACTAAGGCGTGTATAATTTGAATTTCTTTCATTTCATATGAATTGTGAGTTTTATTGAAATTGATATGGGACTCGATAATCCTGCTGTACAGTTTAGCGCCTTTTCTGGAGTTGCACCTTGTTTCCTTGTTGGCCGCAGTTCGAAATGTCTTTGGATGAGTAAATTTCCTCGTTATTGCTGAGTGTTGCATGTTGGTTTTGATGCAAGTGGCACGTGCATTTCGGGTTTTTTGCAGCATTTTTACGACTTCCCTGTTGAGTCGGACAGGTGTAATAGTTAAAACCGTCAGCAAAATCAACTAATTTTTCCCGCAATGTTCGTATCTTTAAGATTAAAGGTGTTTTCACAACAAAACGTAAACATAATAATTTGTACAAATTCTTATTGATAAACAAAAGTGAAGAAATCATTAATTAAATGTACGAGGAATACCTTTTTATTATTTTATGCACTCAAAAAGATTTTAAGTAATTTTTATTATAATAATACGAATATCCAGATCCTTAAAGTTAAAGAGCAGCTATCCTATGTAAGCCGACCTTCAGTAATCTTGGAGTGCTAGCAGTAGTTAATATTAACAAACTTTGGGGTCTTATAAGCCATATAGACTGAATCTA